CATTTGTGAAACTCTTTACAGAACATATCCAAAACCAGGATTCGAGCACACAGACACCCAGTAGCAAGAGCACCTCAATCACATGTGATTTTAATTGTGGAAAAGACGGAACATTTTCTCCAGGTTCATAAGTGTGGGAAATTGTCCTTTTTTGTAAAAGGATGGTTAAGACCGAGGAACTTCCTTCCCTCTCTCAACCAGTGAGGCCCCATTTGGGGGCCACTGGTCAATCATTTGGGTGGTCTTTTGGCCCTTCAGTCTGGGTCTTTCTTATGGTAAAACCCAGTCACTTCCAGTGAGTCCTCCCCACTCTTTCTACATTCATCTGTCTTAGATAGTAAAGTGCAATACATCATGAACCTTACATTTTTACCCTCTCTGCTCATTTGTAAAGCCTATGGGGCCAGGCCCCAATAGGGATAGAGATCTCCTAGTTACCTGATCAACCCAGGTTTTGTGTCCACTCTGAGAGTGCTTCTGAAACGTAACTGCAGCTTCTCTCACAAGTACATGGTAACAGTTATGACTTGGAATCAAATATATGGGTGCAGAGAAAGGTAAAGCTATCAGAACACATTATATCTATATATAAAATTCAATTTCAAAACATGGATACAAATACTCATTTACAATATATTTTAACCTTCTGCCTTAAACTACAGAAATCTTTTTGTGCCGTCCAAGGTAGGCAGAAATGAGGCTGTCTGCCTGCTGTCCCTCTAGTGCAAAATCTAGTCCTTTAAACATTCTTCTTCTCAGCAAGGGCTTCACATCTTCAGATAAGCTAGCATGGGCACTAGCAAATACAGTGGCCAAGACCAGTTCCATCTCCAACCATGAAATAATGGAGTTTAAAGACATTTCTCAATAACTACTATAGAAAAAGAAAGCTAGTTCTGCTTACAAAATCACTTAGGGAAGGACCCATAATCCCATTTTGTCCCCAGATATCTTAAATGTACATATATATTGTGGAGGAAAAAATCCTACAAAACTCTATTAAGTCAGTCACCAGAAAAATCCTTTGGGTAGCTTATCAAAGAGGCACTAATTCTTGCACCCTCCCTGCCCTTAAAAATTTTGGTATCTTAGCAGATACAGTGTAATCTTTGGTTACATAATGTGATGCTTTCATTTTTTTCTTTCTCTTTTTTTAACTGCTCTCAAAGATTTTCAAAGAGATCAGTAGTGAGAACAGACTTGCCTATAAAAGGCAGCAGGGGGAGAAACTTCATTTTAATAGAAATTGCATATGCTAAATGGTTATTCTGGCTTTACATTTGGGATTTGATACTATGCTTTAGCATACTAGGTTCCCCTGACTCTCCCCCACAAGCCCCCATAGGAGGTCAAGCATAAAAGTCACTCCCTTAGACCAGTGTCCTCTTACCTGGGCAACTGGCACAGGAAAATTAGCAGTCAGCCTTATGATTATCTGGGCCATGTGGGGCCATATTGAGTTAGTTTTTGGGCTGACTGGAAATAATTTTATGAAGTCTAGTGCTGGCGCAGGGCTGGGAAAGGGGGCAGAGGGAATGGCTTGGGACTTTGTGTTCTGCCGAATTCAAGGGTAAGAAGGGGACAAGGCCACATCTGTGCTGTGCCCAATGGAACAATCACTTAAAAACTACCTGTAGATTAAAGTTAGGTCATTTGTGTAGTGTCAGTACCATGTAGATGGTGGACCTATTTCTCTTAAAGTACAAGTAGACTATATCTTGCTATATATGCATATATGCATTTAGAAGCAAAGTATGAACAGAGAGGGGCTGTAAGATCAGCACATTATTTCTCAACTTAGACAATTACCTTTGCAACTACCTAAAGGAAAGAGTAAAGTTCTTTTTTTTTTTTTTTTCCTCTTTTTTTCTTTTTAGTGCCAGTGAACATACATAATAATATATGTATTGCTGATTTTCTTTTTTCAAAGCTATATGACATAATCCTTCAAAACATTCTTTTATCAGATTAAGGTACTTAAAGCAAAACAAAATGAAAACTCTCCAAAGAACAACGATACTGTCTGTGGCTTAGAAAAGCTATGGAACAAGGAATCCAACCCCAATTTCAGCTCAGCTACCAGGCTTGGGCCAGCTTCTGAATAACCACAGAGTTCGTGAAACTGTTGCCTTGTACAATCAGGGCCTTCTCTCTGGTGCTTCTTCTTTTTGCCTTTCTTTGTCTCCATCTCCATTCAGCACTGCAAATCTCTTTGGAGATAGTCCCTGTGACTTGTCGCATGAGTGATCCTTTTCTTTTAGCTCAACAGGTGAGAAAGTCTGGGTGGCTGGTCCTTCATGGGTGAGCACAGTATACCAACCACATCAACTCTGTTTGTAGAGGTGCGTGCATGCAAAATGAGACTTCTGTTCAAAAGACAATTACATTGGCTAGAACATCAATGGCCCAAAGAAAACAAAACAAAAACAAAAAAAACCCTTTCCCCCTTTTATATAAGGGAGAACACAGCCAAATTAAAATCTCTTTGTCAGTGAAACCTCAATGCAGAAAGGGTTGGCCTAAGTCCCTGTTTAGGCCATTTTTATAGGTCCTTCCATTTGGAAACTTGGAGCAATCTAGTTGTTGCTGCTTTTAATTACATTGCTGTTTCACTGATATTTGGCTTTTGCAGATAATAAGCATATATATTTATAAAGACTAGATTCATGATTGGGAATCCATAAAGATGAAAAATCTTTATAGAGTAATGGAAAGTAGTGCCTCTAGTATTTAGAATGATATAATCGAATCCATGTTTCACCAAAGATGAAAATCATTTCAAAACAGATGTAAAGGAACTATTAAAATGTTATCTAGTTTAACTGATAAGTGATGTTGTTTTTGTTTTTTGTTTTCCTGCTAAACAGCTTACATAAGCCAGATGGTGGCATAACAAAGAAAACCAGAACTTTCCTATTTTAGAAAGGAAACCCTGTCAGCTTTCATTTTATCCAGCAGTCTTGAATGGACATATCATCCACTTTAGGTTCCCCTCTCTCTTGTTATTTAAAGAGCTGTTTTGTAAGTTCATTTGGCTATTAATATCAACACAGAAATCAGGGTAGGAAACCTATGTGCATCATGTCACTCAGAAACTATGTTCTAAACAAGCAGAGTAAACCAATTGAAATGGGCAGTTTGGTGACTGGTCCCTGATATTTTTAAGCTTAAAAGACCAAATTAAGAGCAAGTGAGGAGGCAATGGCCAGGATGAAAACGTAGGTGGATATTCCTCATGTCCTTGGGGTTGGGAGACAAAGTCACCAGAACAGAGGGTTGCCAAAGGGCTATGCATAATCAATGTCCCAGGAACATACCCTGAGTCCATGAGTGTCATTCTATTAAAGTCATACCCACCAGACCAAAGGAAGCCATGGTTCTGTAGAAAGTCTCAATGTTTCAACGTCTTTCTGAATGACAGAAAACAAACAATAATGGAAAATCTAAGTGAATATGGCCAACAGAGTCAGCAATAAAGGAGGGTGATGTGTAAATCCACCAGATGGTGCGCATCTGGCTTTAGGATTTGGCTCTGAAGACTTTAACATATTAGTCAGAGTCTCCTCTTGGTTTTTTTTTTTTGTTTGTTTGTTTGTTTGTTTTTTATCCCATTTTCATGTGACTTTTACAGGTGGATATGTTGGGTGACAAGGAGAGTATTTACAGTGTTTTTGGTTTTAGGGCCTTCATTCTTCCCAACTTGGTAATTACATTTTCTCTTCAACCCTGATTTGGGTAGCCTCTTTAGTTATTCTGAAAGAAGCAGTGAGCATTTCACCATTTGGTGGGAGGGTATCATTTCTGAGGGACAAAGGCAAGGCGCCCAGTTTGTCCAATCCTTTTGATCTGACAGTTGATATGCCCATAGAAATGATCATTTTATCATCATGGCTGAAATGCAATCAGGTTAAGCTTAGTCCATGAAACACTAAAGGAAAGATGGAAGGAGCTTGTGGCTGCAAGGAGTCAAGCACATTCAGGCCCTTTAACGGAGGGACAACTGTAGTGGCAGCAAAGAATCAAATGTTCAGTATCCCAATAGGAGAAAAGCCAAGCCACCACTTCCTTCTCCTCTGACTCTAGCACCTAGCTTCTTCCTGGCTCTTTGGAAGACCTTGGATCCAAATGGGGCCTTCCAAACAATCAAATCTCTCCTCTCTTTTTCAATTGTCTGCTCTTTGAAGTAAATGATCAAGTTTTGGCTAAAGAGAACCTTCAGTTAAAAGCTCTTATAAGCCATTGAAAGCAGATTTGAGGATGGAGGCAGAGGGTGAGAGAGAAAAGAGAAAAGGGTGAGGGAGGGAGAGATGTTCACATGCAGACAAGTTTTCAAACAAAAAGCACATTTTTAGTATAATGAAGTGCACTGCATTTGAGCAGTCTAAATACCAGGGGCCAAGATTGTGGGCAGGTACGGTTGATTCACCTGCTCTCCTTGTCCTCTCCATTCTCTGACCCCATAACTCATATTTAGGGTCATCTTGCCCTCTAATGGCAATAATTGTCTTCAGGAAGAAAAATTTTCCAGGGAAGGAAGGGTTGAAAAAGAAAGCAGTGATTCCCCATGGACCTGAATTTTTTCATTTCTTTTTGTCATTGTTGGCTTCTTTGGGGGGTTATCTTTGTTTGCTTATATATTTTTGAAGTGTACAAAAAAAAAAAAAAAAAAAAAAAAACCCTAGTAAGGCTTAAACTTTGTTTTTGTTTTGTTATGCTTCCCCGCCCCCCAAATACTCTTAGCTCTCCAAATTTCATGTGGCATTAGGTAAGTAAAGATTTGTGTGGTTGACACACAACACAGTGCTGTAAACAAGCACAACTTGACACTGGGCCACAGGAATATCATCACAGATTTGAAGAACTACAACACCATTCAAAATACAGATAGGAGCCATGGTAAGGAACAGAGTCTGAAGATACCATAAGAGAGTCAGATAGGGAGAAATGAAGGAAAAGAAAGGAAGAAAAGAGAGAAAAAAAAAAAAAAAGCCCACGAAATAGAACTCAGGAATATCTGCATAACAGACTACCATAAATAGAGGAAATTCCCCAAGGCACTGCAGAGAAGTAGTGCAGAGTTATAGCAGGCAGAATACACCTGGAAAGGGTACTAGGGTAGGTGTGGGGACTTTTAAAGCTTCACTGTGTGTGGAAATAGATGGGCTTGACTTTCCCAGAAAGGATCTTGGGCACTTGCACAGAGATGATCTCTGCCATCATTTCTGGAAAGTCCACGCTCACCATGTGGGACTTGATCAGCAGGTCAAAAGTGAACTGATGAAGCTCTCGTGCAATCTGCAGGGGGAATAAGAGGGGAAGAACATAGAGATGATGAAGAGTTTGCTTTTACTAGGAACTCTTCCCACCTCTAATTTCTGGTCCTGTTAACTATTTGTTTCCACCACCACCTCTTCCCTTGTTCTTCTCTCCTGTCCATGCTTGTGTGTGTGTGTGTGTGTGTGTGTGCATGTGTGTGTGCATGTGTGTGAGAGAAATGTTCTCAAGGGATTGAGTGCTCCCAGGAGATCTTTTACACTATTGCAAGTTCTCTGACTCAGGACTGGGTGTTCCTCTTACTCAACACACACACAAACAGCCACTCACACTCACAAACTCTCTCTCTCTCACACACAACTCAGGGATGGGAGAGTGGGGGACATCTAGCTAGGTCTGTTGTGTCTGTGTAGAGGACTCTTTTATGATTCCCAACTGCTTTGTTCTCAACTCCTCCACCTCTTTCACAACATCCAGCTGGAACATTGTGACTTGTGTTCCTTTTTTCTAGACTGCATTTTCTTTCTGGACCACACTCAAAGCCAGAAAGTGATGGAAGCACCTCCCAGCAGATGGTGTCAGAGCCTGGGGGGAGCATGTTATCATTTGGCTCTATCAGGCTACTCTCCTTGACAAAGCACCCTCCATCTTTTGCTTACAGGCTGCACAGAGTCCAGGAGCTTGGTGAGCTGGTAGAAGCGTCTTGAGCAGGATGTGGGATTTTTTCTCTTGCATGCAATGATACGATCAAGTTCCTTGATGTAGTTCATTCGAAGCTCATCAAAGAATTTTTGGTTTTTCAGCCCATCCACAGGAACTGATATAGGATGAAGACAGAATGGGGAGAGGAAGCATGTCCAGGAATGTACATTAGACAAAGCACCAAATTTTTGATCACAAACTTGATTGTTATGCCACAGGGAGGGAACCATCTACTTGGATTCTTGTCAGTTGAAGTTTATGTGTCTTGGGGAAAAGGCTAGCTGGACTCAATGAGAAGGATATCAGGTAAAGAACATTTACTGAACCATTCCCCTTCCTAGTTTTCTCATCTACCCATTTTTTAGGACTTGATGTGGCACTGTAGGATAAGCATTGGACTGTTAACTCCGGGTTGGTGGTTCAAACCCACCAGCCACTCCTTGGAAACCGTATAGGGGGTCACTATGAATCAGAATAGACTCCACGCACATAACAACAACAATTATATGTTGTTTATAGCCTAGCTTTCTAGTCCTAGTGTGGCATTGTAGGTTAATGTGCTGGACTGCAATGATGGTTTGAATTACAACATCGGCGGTTTAAGCTCACCAGCTGTTCCTTGGAAACCCTATACAGGGTTGCTATGGGTCGGAACTGACTTGAAGGCACATAACAACAGTAGTCTAGCTCTTATTTAGACAATTAAAACACATGGCTTTAAATATTAAATTTTGTCTCCTATCTCACTCAAAGAGGTTAAGACAGCACTCTGCTTAGAAGAGACATTAAAGAATGGTTTCTGGAATGCCAAATAAACCTTGTTTGAGTTGCTTGCTAGAAGTCTTGGTGGTACAGTGGCTAAGTGATCTGCTGTAAACTGAAAGGTTGGCAGTTCGAAACCACCAGGCACTTTGTGGGAGAACAATGTGGCAGTCTACTTCCATAAAAATTTATAGCCTTGAAAACCCTATGGGACAGCTCTACTGTGTCCTAGAGTTGAGATAAATAAGAATTGACTATACAGCAATGGGTCTGTTTGGTTGTTCTTGGCTTGAGTTGCTTACATAATCTTTCCACTGTTGACAGTAGAAAAGATCCCTTCAAGGAAACATCCCTCTCATTCTATCTTGCAAGTGGGTATTAGGTGACTTTTGCTTGTTTCTATGGTGGAAGCTATAAGGGAACTCAGAAATCTGTTTAAACCAGTCAAATTGACCTTGATCCCAAAGAAACATTGGGGGTAGATGAGAGTCTGATTGATGGTGACTAAATTTTAGCAAAGAAAATGGTCTCTAATCATGAAATTGGTCTTTGTCAGGAAAAAGAATACTGCGGACAGGGAGAGGGACAAATAGAATTTCCAGGGGCTGGATTTTCACTTTATAACCCTTTAAAGGTAAAACAGCCCTTTTCTGAGCCCACATGTCCTCAGGGGCACTAACTGCCCATCTAGGCACTTACTAATGCTGAACAGAAGCAACGCCTTCATGCACAGGAATTCCTGGGGGGTGATTTGGAGCCATCCAAACTCTTGGGATAGGTGCCTCATTCGGACACACTGACTATACATCCGGGACTTGTGCATGCGGTACCTGGGAAGAAGACACACAGAGGAAAGAGAGATGTGAGAGGAGACTTAAAACCAGCCCAGGAATAATGCCTTGGTGCCTTCCCCTTTCCAAGTTCTCCAAGAAAGCCTCATGTTTTTTTTTTTGTTGTTGTTGTTGCTGTTTTAATGACGAGGAACATGGTTGTTCTCCACCCCCGACCCCTCTTCCCTATTTTTCCAAAATGCTGACATTTTGATAACAACTCATCTCCCCTGGCCAGGATATGGGTTAGTACATGGAATTTCCAGGTCTTCTTGTTCCTCCTGTTTCCTGAAATAGGGACAGGAAAGCTTAGCTCAATGAACATAATGGGGTAGGTGCACAGTCTCCCAGACTACAGGTTTAATATCCCAACTATAGTCAGAGCTAGAATATGCTTCCTAGGCAGCCCAACTGGGAGGATTTCTAGGAAATAGACCAAAGAAAGCAGCTCTTAACATAAAGATACCTGGATTCTCACATGATCACAGATCATGTCAATTCTTCTGCCTTGACTGCCATATTCCTTGAATGCCATATTCCATATTAGAAATTTAATCATTTATTTAAAACCTTACAGGGGAAAAGGCTCTACATTTTTTTTTTTTTGTGTGTGTGTGTGTGTATGTGTTTTCAAAATGAATTCCAGAGCTTCTCAAATCAGTCAAGAAGTGTTTCTGAATGTCTAACCCAAATGACCCCTGCTGATGGGGAGCCCACTTTCTCATAAACTGGCCATTTCTTACCACAATTTGGGAGCTGCAAACATGTGTAAGATTCTTTATTATAGTGATTTTCTAATGCATTATCCCATTCATATCTTAAATGGTATGGATAAGTGGCCAAGGCTTGGACAGGCTTCTCAGCAGGGAGCAACATTGCTGTTTCATGATTGGTTTTGCCACACCATTAACAGAAGACACAACTTCCTCCTGCTACTTGGGTGAGAAGGCCTTCCTTGTTTTTAGAACTTAAGAAAACAAAGACAGAAATTGATGTAGTATGCTGAGAAATAGATGGGAATTCCACATTCCCCACCCAAAATGAAAAAGATAAAGAGATCCTGGGTTGGATATGAAGGCTGTGGTTTGTCATTTTGTTCCTCAAACTATTAACCTGGTCCAGAAGATGAGGATGTAGAAGTATTCAAGCTAAGGAACAATTGGAAAGCAGACGTGTTAAGACAGTAATACAAGTCAATTGACAATAGCTGTGTTTCTCCAAGCTCTTTTACCCTAGAATTTTTTAGTAAGATCTGATGACCTTGGGGCTTGGCTGACCTCAGGTCTATCTTGTACTTCCAGACCTCTATGGATTACACCATTGTAGTCTTTTCACCATTGAAATCAGCTTCCTGGATAGAAGATTATTGTACATTGCTGCAGATCCCAAGTAGACAGAAGGTGGGGAGGGGAGAAAAAGAAGTAAAGAAAGAGAAATAATTCAGATAGCAGGGTATGAAAAGGGGAGAAAAGGTCACAAAGAATAGGGAGAATGTTAAATAAAATAAAGTGAAAGGAGGAATGAGGGAGAAGGGGAAAGACAAGAATGACATTTGGAAGGAGAGCAGGGGTAGGTGAGAATAAAAGAGAGTGGATAAGAGGGGAGATTAGGATTGAAAAACACTGAGCACTTTATTTGGTGTATAGTAATTACTCCATAACTGACTTGATTCTATTCACCATTCTGTAGACAATGCAACTGAGGATCAGGGAAGTTCAATAATTTATCCAAGGTCACAAACTAGTGTTCAGTCCCATTAATCATGACAACATGTGCTCTCCACAAAGAAATGATAATAGAATTTGGTGTCAGTGAGATCTGCAAGTGGGTTGGCCCAGCTTGAAAAAGCCCTGTCTTTTGCTGTGGGCCTCAGAATTTTGATCAGTACCTTGAGGAGTTTGGTATTGATTTCTGGGTCTCAATTGGAGTGGTAGAAATGTGGGGGACAGTTTGGGCTGTCACAGTGTTTGAGATTCCATCAATTGTCTATTGGACAGGTACCAGGGATGTTAAACATATTCCAATGTGTAGGATCATCCTGAACAATCTAAAACGATTTCTCCTTAAATGTCAGCAGCATTCTTGTTGAGAAAAAATGATTCCTGGTGTTTCTTGGGACCCTGAGAGTTTTAACATGGTAGGTTGCTACAAGAGGAAAGGGGGTCTATTGTTTTAGGAGCCCTAGTGGGCTTGGCCTGCTGACTTTGTGGGGAGACCTGTGGCACATATGAATGATGTGGATGAGACTGGGCTAGAAAATTGAGATGGTGTGCCACATACAGCAGCATAGAAGGAAATTGTTGTTGTTGTTATGTGCCATGGAGTCGGTTCCGACTCATAGTGATCCTGTACAGGGTTTCCGAGGCTATAAATCTTTACGGGGACAGAAAGCCTCATCTTTCTTCCGCGGAACAGCTGGTAGTTTTGAACTGCTGACCTTGTGGTTCACAGCCTGATTCGTAACCACTACGCTACCAGAGAAAATAATTATTACCTTCCAAATTCCCAAAGACCGTGGGATTCTGAGGAAACTGATGCAGGTGCCCTCAATAACTCACATGGAAGTGTAGGTGGGAGACCAAAATAATCAGGAAGGGAGCTTTTCAAGGCCTGCTCCAGATGATGGCATCATAGGTAACTCTTTGGAGGCCTGGAAACCACAGAGCAATTCATGTCAAAAGCTCAGTGGTAATTCTTAGCATCTCATTGGTAAGATTGGCTGAGTTGGGAGAGGGCAACTGGGGACGTTCATTCTCCCCATCATGGAATTGTGTGGAATTGTGGTACTGGAAGGAACCACTGGCTTGTAGATTTTATTTTAAGCCTCTTTTGGGTTACAGGGGTGGAAGGGAGGGAAGGTTAATTCCTTTCCCAACCAAAATGATTCTATGTGGTAAGACTGGCTTAAGGTTCTTGGGAAGATTTTTCTAGCCAGCTCTATTCACAATGCTACAGAGGAACTTTAAACAGCAGACCCAGATAATGCTATTAATATTAAACATATGGAGCATCTTTTAATACAAAAGGACTTCTTTTATATTTTGTGGCTACTATGGATCAGGCATTCTGCATCCATTAGTTCTCATTCAGCCATCATAACACACCATTTTAGAAGGTCTATTATTATTAACTGCTGACATTGTGGTTATCAGTCCAGTTCTTATCCTGTAGCACCAGATGTTTGAAAATAATAGAGCTGAAGTTTTTGTCTAGAAAAGTGTAATTTCAGTATTTGAGGGCTTAACTAATTCATGAAGGATCAGTAGAGTTGGCAGGAAGGCAGGCATAAATAAAAAAAAAAAAAATTTAAGGAAAATGACTAGGCTAAGTCACATAACCAGAGAATGGTGGAGCTTCTCTCCATATCAGTTACCATCATGAGAAAGTAGGATTTGGAATTATGCAAACTTAAATTTGAATCTTCTTTCCAACATGCATTAGCTGTGTGACCTTGAATGAGTCTATTTTTCTGAGCCTGGTTTTTCACATCCATAAAAATAGGATTATATATAAAAAGGATCTCTGGTAGTGTAGTGGTTATGAATCGGGCTGCTAGTCTCACGGTCAGAAGTTCGAAACTACCAGCTGTTCCGTGGGAGAAAGATGAGGCTTTCTGCTCCAGTAAAGATTTACAGCCTTGGAAACCTTGTACGGGTTGCTATGAGTCGGAACCGACTCCATGGCATATCACAGCAACAACAACATATAAAAGGGGAAATTACTTTGATTTCCATGAAAACTCACTGAAATGTTATTTACAAAGTATCTAGCACAGTTCTGGCACAAAATAGTTGCCCAACAAATAGTGGCCTTCAGTGGTACCCAAATAACACTATCTGAGCTCCTTCTTCATACCAGGGCTTGTGCTAGGAGTTTGGGAAAATATTTCATCAAAATATGATCCTTGCTGTGCCTTTGGAAGAAGTCTGAAAGAGGAAACCCACAATGGCAATTCAGAATCCTGAGGCACAGCCACATTAGCACCTGTTACTATCTAAAGGCAAGAGATAGTGGGCTGGTTACAAAATTCAGGATAAAAAATTGAAGAATAACATGAAGCAGAAAGTTAAAGCCTTAAAAGACCTTGGAAGCTATAAGACTGAAGTGTCATTAGAACTACTCAAGAAGTTCAGTTTTTCTAATTTCTCAGGGGCAGGATCTGAGAGTTCGAACCAAATAGCTTAGAATTTGAATTCCAGCTGCAACAGTCACTAGCTGTGTGATCTTAGGTAAGTTGATACTTCTTATTGAACAACATCTTCTTCATTCACACACACAAAATAAGGAATTACCTAGACATAATTAGAGCATATATATAGAACCAATAGCCAACATCACTCTCAAGGAATAGAAAGTGAAAGCATTCCCCTTGCTAACCACAACCAGACAAAATGCCCTTTATCATTCACTCCTATTCAATATTATGCTGGAAGGCTTATTCAGAGATATAAGGCACGAAAGAGAAATTAAAGGTATCCAAACTAGCAAGGAAGAAGTAAAACACTCTCTATTTGCAGAAGATATTATCCCATAAATAGAAAATCCCAAAGACTCCAAAAAGAAATCATTGGAACTCACTGAAAGAGTCAGCAAAGTGGCAGGGTACAAGATCAACATACAAAAACCAGTCACATTCCTTTACATTAATAAAGAAAGCTCTGAAAAAGAAAACAGGAAAACAAAGACCTACAAAAATGGAAGGATAAACCAAGCTTACAGATAGGAAGACAGAAATTTGTGAAAATGTCAACACTACCCAAAGCAGTTTCTAGATATAATTCAATCCCAATCTAGATTCTAACATCATTCTTTAAAGCAGTGGAAAAATGATCATGAACTTTATATGGAAAGGAAAGAGACCTCGGATAAGCAAAGCACTCTTTAAGAAGAACAAAGTAGAAAAAAAAGAGTAATCTGCTACAATTTGATTAACTTGACCTATACTTATGGATGCAGTAGCTCAAAAGAGGGAAGGAATCTTTACAGCGAAGATCATTCCCACCCCCTCAGTACACAGGGTTGACAAGGATGGGCAACTTAGACATTGGCTAAAGGAGCTCTGGTAGCATAGTGGTTATGAATCAGGCTGTGAACCTTAAGGCCAGCAGTTCGAAACTACCAGCTGCTCCGCGGGAGAAAGATGAGGCGTTCTGCTCCCGTCAAGATTTACAGCCTCGGAAACCCTGCACAGGGTCGCTATGGGCCAGAACCGACTCAACGACACTTAACAACAACAACAACCCAAAACTAGGGGGCTACAAAAGCACGAAGTGACTGGCTTACAAGCTTTCAAGAGGGAGCCTAGTTTCAGAAGGTACAGGGGAGGGTAGAATTCCCCACTGAGTGGTTTCCAACCTGTCTGGATGGGCTGGTGAAAGGAGATGGGGATAAGACTCTTGTGGTTCAATAGTGAATAATTGCTATCGGGACTGATTGTGAGTGTTGCAAATGTAAAGGTAGACATTTTGTAACAAAAGGAAAGGAGTGTTTGATCTTGCAGTCTAGGAGCGGAGGACCCTGGGACCATAAGGCAAAAGAGTGGAGTGTGGGACCCTATCCAGAGAAGCAGTGACACCAGAAATGGAGGATCTCTGCAGACAATGATGTAGAGAGATGGAGTGGCTGGGGACTCTGGACTCAGGGAGGGAGAGGGGCTGTGTGCTGATGGCTGGGGAGCAGGCTTGCGGGGTGCGCTCTTTGGTTGTTTAAATGGTTGTATATTCCTGAGTGCTTCGGTGTACATCCCTGCCCCCCCCCAAAAAAAAAGCAACAACATTGGAATGGAATCAAATGCTGTTGAATGATGATGCATGTAGTGATTGTAATCATTGCAATGAAACTGGTTAACAACCTGCCATACGCAGATAATCAACTTTGATTGCTGATAGTAAAGAAGAATTAAAATACTTACCTCAATGACTGCAGCCTTCAGTATAGAGTGCAACTCAATGTGAAGAAAAAACAAACAAACAAACAAAAATACCCCTCACAACTGGACCAAAAAATAACATCATGATAAATGGAGAAAAGATGGTCTTATTAGGGCACCTTCAAAATTAAGGTCCAATCAAAACAGTGGCTTCTGAGAAGATCTGCTGGGCCAGTGACGTTCAAGGCAAAGAAGTCAGCTCAGAAAACTATAACAACTTCTGGGGATTCCAAGGTTTTCTCAAAGAAAACAGGAAAGTCATGAGTGCTTATTAGAAATAAATTTTTTAAGAAAATTGAAATCTTCATCAGTGAGAAAAAGGCCTGGAAAAATGTGCCAACGAATTTTTTTTTCTCCCCATCAAAACAATACATCTACTTATTCTTCAGGGATAAGAAGGGCAAACCTACAAGGAATTCACTGAGATACCTTACCTCCTACACTTCGCAGCCCCGATCTTGGCCCTTCAGATATTTTTGGTTCCCTACACTCAAAAACATTTAAGAGGAACAAGATTTGATTCCCTCAGATATGCCACCTTGGAAACCCTATACAGAGTCGCTATGAGTAGGATCTGACTCAACAGCACTTAACAACAACAACAATATATACACACAATGGAATACTATGCTATACTGAAGAAAAATGATGAATCTGAGAAACACCTCAATGTGAGTGAACTTGGAGGACATTATGTTGAGTGAAATTAGTCAATCACGAAAAGACAAATATTGTATGAGATCACTATTATAAAGTCAAGAAAAGATTTTCATGCTAAAAGAAACATTCTTTGGTCGTTACCAAAGGTGGGAAGGAAGGGAGAGTAATTCACTGACCAGAGGGTAAACACATGTTAACTTGAGTGCTGGAGAAGGCAAAATACAAGAGAGAGGTTGGAAGAAGAATGATGGAGACGGGGGAAGACACAAGGAGTGCAAGAGTTAAAAGGAATAGAAGTAAATTTTGCTCTATACACAATTCTGCACTAACAGTGATCTATGGGTAGGTACATGGACAAATACACAGGCTGAACAGGTATGACAGGAAGACTGGGAGTATACTCACAAATATTAAAAGTTTGGCATAGGATATTTGTACATGATACAAATATATACGTACATAAACATAAACAAGGAGCTCTGGTAGCATAGTAGTTACAAATTGGGCTGCTAATCTCAACAGTTCGAAACTACCAGTTGTTCAGCAGCAGAAAGATGAGGCTTTCTACTCCTGTAAAGATTCACAGCCTCAGAAACCCCATGCAGGGTTGCTATGAGTCAGGACCAACTCCATGGCACTTAACCACCATCACCATAAACATAAACATTGTCGTTGTTGTTGTTGTTGTCAGGTGCCATCGAGTCGGAACCGACTCATAGCGACCCTATGCACAGCAGAACGAAACAATGTTCGATCCTGGGCCAACCTCACTACCGCTGCCACACCTGAGTCCATCAATGATGCCACCTGGCTGATCCATCTCGTTGGGGGTCTTCCTCTTTTTCTCTGACCCTCCACCCTACCCAGCATGACATCCTTCTCCAGCGATTGTTTCCTCCGGACAATATGTCCAAAGTAGGAGAGACGAAGTTTAGCCATCCTGGCCTCTAAGGAGCACTCTGGCTGCACTTCTTCCAAAACAGATTTATTGGTTCTTTTGGCAGTCCATGGCACTTTCAGTATTCTCCTCCAACACCACAACTCAAAGGCATCAATTCTTCTACGATCCTCCATAAACATACAGGAGGTAAAATTATGAAAACTTCTTAGATACTATCAAACAAACACCTTGAGGCAATGAGTTGCAGTGCCTGGGGGCTCAAGACCATAGTCTTGGTGGACATCATGGTCAATTGGCATATCAAAGTCCACAAAGACAATGTTCTACATCCTAGTTTGGTGAGTATCAGTTGAGATCTTAAAAGCTCATGAGCAGCCATCTAAGGTGCAACTATTGGTTTCTCCCTGTAGGAGGGAAGAAGAGTGATGGAAACTGAAAATGCTTTGAATCAATTAGTTTAATGGACTAACGGAACAAGTTAACATCAATCTCCATGACCCTGAGACCAGAAGAACTGGAGGGTGGCCAGGTACAACTACCAACTGCTTTGAAAAGGATCACATTGGAAGGTTGTGGATAGAGTGGGAGAAAATGTGGAACAAAACTCAAAATTATGAAAAATGACCAGATTTACTGGTCAGAAAGAGACTGGAAGAACCCCAAACTATGGCCCATGGTCACCTTTCAGATCTGGAACTGGTCACCCTCATGGTTCAATTTTCAGCCAAGCAATAGGCAGGTAAATATGGGGACAACATAACAAGTGTAGAATGCACAACATATACTAGTCAACCATTCAAAATTAAAAGAGCAGCATTTATCTAAGGACAAAATTTGGAAGGGTTGGGAAAATGGGAAGTGGGATAATTGATATCACATGAAGGGGACTGCAATCATTTAAACAAAAGGAAGTATACACTTTATTGAATGTATAAATGATGATTTGCTCTCTAAATCTTCATTCAATTCACAATAAAAATTAAGAAAAAAAGGGAATTAACCATTGTCTATGGCCATACCATCCTCAGTGCATGTGATTTCAACATAGGAAATTACATCAATGTCACTGAATTGTTCATGTATTATAGACATTTTTGAGATGGAATATGTTTTGTTACGTGTATTTCCACCACAATCAAAATGAAAGGGGTGGGGATTACAGTTGCTATCTCAAAAGGTTGTCATGAGGACTCACTGAGATGATATATAACAAATATTTATCATAGTCCCGGCACAAAGTAGTTAATTAAAAAATGATGGCTAGCAGTAACTCAGTTGTAGCAAAGGAACCAAAGAAACTTCAGTCCTCACAACCAGTTTCTCTGCTTCTTCCTATGTTGCTTAGAGTATAGGGGAGGGGCCTATACCTGGGCTTCTGAGTTAAGGCACAAAGTAAGTCAGAAATATGGCCAAAATACCAGGGTTGGGAAGGGAATGAATTCAGAAACACCATCAGTAACACCAACATACCCCCAGCTCCCGCCATAAGACACCTCCCAACAATTTACTTTCCAGTGTGGGCAAAGCCACCTCAGACTAGCTTGGCTATCACTTCCATTACTTCACCTGCATGTCAAATGGGCTAGGCCTCACCATTACTCCTACTATCCCCATTCCCACCATCTAGGTCTGGGTTGGCTGCTGTGCTTATGTGAAGTCTGGGCCCAGAAGAACTTACTCATTGAAAACCAAGTCAGGTGCGAAGTAGAGCATCCTGGAGTTGACATTGGTGAAAGATCGCCAGCCCATGGCAAACACCATGAGACCCATCCAGGAATACTGAATGACTGCCATCTGATCATCCACATGTAAGTTGCGGAAACCTGGAGAGGAAGGGCAGGGGCAGTGGTCACATTGGACATCGAAGGGCAGAGCTAAGTAAAGTCCTCTGCTGGGAAATGAATCTCTGGCACTCAAGCAGCCCCTGAGGAGCCCAGGGAACATCAATACTAGCCACCGAGGGAAGGTTAAAAAAGACAAAAGTAAATAAATAAATAAAATATTGTGTGGAAAAGTTCCTTGCCCTCCCTACTTCACTGAGCTGCAATTGTAACGCTCATATGGAATGATGATAGAGGTAAGGAGGACATTGTCAGTTTTTATAGAACTGGTTGTTTATAATGAATGAATTGTTTTCTAAGCATGTTATTTATGTTAACTTGTTTAATCCTTACAGAAAAACAATGAAGTAGAAATTATTAATGGACAGGTTTCAACAAAGCTTCCAGATTAAGAACAAAGTAGAAAGAAGGAATAGGCATGTCCACTGAAAACCTTATTAATAGTGGCAAAACTTTGTCTGATATATTGCCAGATAAAGCGCTCCTCATGTTGTTAGACACTCAAAATATGACCGTGGAAGAGCCACCTTCTCAAAGTATGTTGTTATTAAGTGCTGTCAAGTTGGTTTCGGCTCATGTTGACCCTATATAGGGTTTCCAAGAAGCAGCTGATGGGTTTGAACTGGCAACCTTGTAGTTTACAGTGACTTTATGTGGATGGAATAAATCTTCCAGGACCTTCATTTGCTGTGGCACATGACTGAAAATAAGAAGAAATAGCTGAAAATATCCATTATACTTAATTAATTATTAGGGCCACAGATAAACATTAAACATGTCCAAGAAGTAAAAGCAGATGACCATATCAAAATATGTCCAGAAAAAAGATAAAATATCTGAGACAAATGAACCAGAAGTAGACCTTCTTTCCATGCTGGAAGGAGGGCAGGCTTTGGAGATACCAGAGAAAGAATTCAGAAAAATGATTATAAAATGTCTCAAAACACTTTACAATGGAGTTTAGAAAAATAAGGAAGAAGTCAGAAAAGCGCTACAGAAACAATCAAACAAGACAGAAACAGCATTGGTAACAATCCAAAACCTACAGAAAGAGGTCCAAACAATCAACAACAAGATGGCAGAAATAGAAAACTCCCTGAAAGGGCAGTGGAGTAGAATAGATGAGATGGAAGGAAGAATCAGTGAGCTGGAAGACAAGTCTCTCAATACCACTAAGATA